GGTGGTTAACTAAAGCCTGAGGTTAATCTTCCTGACTCATTTTTTATCAATGTTGTTAGAGAGGATGCACTTGAAAAAGGGTTGGATGATTTGGCTGACCTAGAGGAGGACTTGGCTAATCTCCATTTCTTTGAAGAATTAGACCTTGGGAATGTGCAGATAGGATGGTGGGAATCGAAGAATTACAGTCAGGGTTGGTCTAGCGGTGACGAAGCTTCTGATAAGGAAACTGAAAGAAAAAAAGGATAAACTGAGACTTGATTTCGGAAAACCTGTTGAATGTGGTAAAGAAAAGAGTTCTAGGGGAAAAAAAGAAGAACCAGAAAGCTATTCAGAGCATACTGTGGGAATGATTTAAGCAGCGCTAGATAATTGCCTTTCGGTCAAGGAAGGCGAATGATGGGATGATAACAGCTTGCAGCTCGTCCACACTAATGATGAATGGGTAAACAATGTACCGAATGAGACTTGGTATACAGATAAAATTGATTATTTGAGCAGGAGTGGGCGCTACTTTAAGCCTCCACACCTAGACCAAGGAGAGCCCTCTGGCAAAGATAAAGAGGTAGAGAAAGAGAAAGAGAAAGAGGTAGAAGAAGATCTGGTTTTAAAACAACTGAAAAAGATCCAGGAAAACATTTGCATTTGGGGTCTTCTCACGGCTTCGCGAGAACATCAACAGGTAATGTTGTTAATATTAAGCATGGCTAAGCTGTCAATTGACACAACTCCCGAGCAATTAGTGTCATTAATCACCCCGAGAGAAACCATCCCAGCAATAACTTTTGCTGACAAAGAGCTGCCACTAGAAGGATCAAGACATAATAAGCCTCTGTATATATCACTGGAATGTAGAAAGAAATGGATCCCGATTGTTCTGATTGGCAACAGATCAACCATCAATGTCTGCCCTACACGCACTACTTATGTAATCAGGCTAAAGCCGGCAGATTTCACGCCCACTACTCAATTGATCCGGGCCTATGATAATACTAGTCAGGAAGTGATAGAGACAATCAAAGTACAAATAATAGTGGATCCATCTGAGCACAAAGCTGAATTTCATGTCATAGATGTTCCCGCAACATTCAACTTGCAATTGGGAAGGCCTTGACTTTGTCAGATGAAAGCTATATCATCCACACTACATCAATTGGTAAAGTACCCATATGGCGGAGGAATTGCCACTGTCTTCGGAAATTCATCCACTCATCCTCCCCCAGAAGTCACAACACCACTGCTAGAAATACAGCATAGGAAAAAGGATGTGTTCCTATCAGGTTTTACATTGGCAGAGGCCCAGCTAGTTCAAACGCTCATGGCAGAAGACGAAGGTGTATACGTTAGTGCCCAATCAATCTATTTCATGAGTAAACTAGGTCATATTCTAGGGATGAGATTGGGACAAAGTGGCAGTAAAGGTATTACTACAGCTAGTGAAGTACCTCATAACCCACATGCATTCGGACTAGGGTATGCACCCATGGTTGATAACTAGAAAAAGGAAAACTGCAGAGATTAGGGAGAGGATCAAAGCCAAGAGAATCGAGCGGCAGTTTGAGTTGGTTCATAAGCCAATTCATGGGACCTTGAAAGAACGCTATGTTCATCAAGGAGAAGACTTCCCTTTCTGTAGTTTTCCTGAGCCCTAGTTTGGTCAAGTAGAGAGGAAAAGATACCTTGGGTTTGAGATCTTCTTTGATCATTAGCTCTCCAACAGTGACGAAGAGTGGGTAGATCCTAGCATCAACATCGGACAAGACAGAAAAGTTAGCTCAGAAAGCAGCACAAAGGAAGTCATGGGCCTAACAGTGGCTGATTTACTGACATAGTCGCATACTAGCACTGAACCGATGAGTTTAGGGTGTGTTTTTTTGGACGGACTAGATAAGGGAGGATTGTAATCCATTGGACTATTAGTCTTGGATACATTGTCCCCAGACTATTTGGTTGGACTGGATTTGTATCTTATGTTTGTTTAGTCATGAGATTAGATATCTGAATTGGACTATTTTTAGTGAATCCAATATTTTTTGGGATATTATGGAAAAGGATAAGTGCTCAAATGACTATTTTATCATTTTCAATTATTTACTAAGTAATAACAATATTAAACATAGCTTTAATATTTTAATTATTTTTAGCTAGATTAAATAAAATTTTATTTTATTTTATTTTTGCACAATTAAATAAATTTATTTTTAAAAAATTAAATAAATTAAATATAAATAAAAATATATGTTATTTTTTAATTAGAATTTTAAATAAATTTATTTTAAATAATAATAATTATTAAATAATTAAATTAAATAAAACATCTATTAAAATTTAAATAATGAAATTAAATAAAATATAGACAAAATTTTAAAATAAAACATCAATAAAATATCTATAAAAAAATATTTTAAAAAATTAAATAAATAAAACAAAAATAAAAATTAAATAAAATTATTTTATTTTTAAATTGAGACATTTAAATTTTTTTGAATTTTACTAAATATAATACGTAATTAAATACTAGAGGGAAAAAATGTAATTGCATTGTCTAATCCCATGGGATGAGTTATCCCAAGGTTTCTATCCCCCCTCCCTCCCCATGGGATAGCATAGTCCCATATTTGTGGGATTAATAGTTTAGGGGAGACTATTAGTCTGGAGCAAAATTTTTCAAACAAACATTGGACTATTAGTTCGGTGGGACTAATAGTCCAATCCTACACCCTAATCCTTCAAAACAAACACATCCTTAGGGGATATGACCATTGTCATGATCGGGGAAAAGGTACCTACTGACTGCTCAAGCTTCATCAGGGATGTAGTGAATGGCTCACAAACAAATTGGCATTTTGAAAAGAGTTCTATTGAGAGTTCTGAATTAGTTGTTAAGTTTGAGTTTGGTGGGCCTGTGGGGTTAGAGTCAGATTCAGTTTGTTTAAGTTGTTTGAGTCTTCTTTTTCTTTTTCTTTTAAGTCTATTGCAACTTGTGAGCCCCAGGTTTTGAATGAAGATTTTGTGCTTTCCGCTTACTTTTCTGTGCCCAGGCCAAAATTTTCAAAATCTTGATAAAAACGAAGAGGAGGAAATTCCTCGGGCTTTGAAAAATTTAATCAACTGGGAGGAAGAAAGGCGTGCTAAGCCATCAGTGGATGAAATTGTTTTTGTAAATGTGGGTACTGAGAAAGATCCTCGCTTGATCCAGATTGGTTCTACATTGTCTTTAGAGGAACGTGAACAATTAGTTGCTTTATTAAAAGAATTCAAAGATGTTTTTGCATGGTCCTATGAAGACATACTAGGAATTGACCCTGAGATTGTACAGCATAGGATCCCTCTCGACCCTTAGGCCTGACCTGTCAAACAAAAGCTTGACAGAATTCGTTCGAATTGGGCCTTGAAAATTGAAAAAGAGGTTACCAAGCAAATCAATGCTGGGTTTTTGCTCGTATCAGAATATCCTATTTAGTTAGCAAATATTATGCCAGTTTCGAAAAAGGATAGCAGAATCCGAGTTTGTGTTGACTTCCAGGAGTTGAATAAGTCTAGTCCGAATGATGATTTCCCATTGCCACATATTGACAAATTGGTAGACTTCACTGCAAGGCACGCCTTACTGTCATTCATGGATGGTTTTTCAAGATATAACCCGATTGTTATGGCTCTAGAGGATAGAGAAAAGACAGCATTTACCACACCACGGGGGACATACTGCTACAGGGTTATGCCATTCGGTTTGAAGAATGCCAGGGCCACTTATCAGAGAGCTGCTACCACTCTTTTGCATGATATGATCCACAAGGAAGTTGAGGTGTATGTAGATAACATGATTGTTAAGTCCAAAGATCGGGATAGCCATTGCACTGCATCAAAGAAATTCTTTGAGAGAATTAGGGAATATAGGCTAAGGCTGAATCCACAGAAATGCACCTTTGGGGTAACTGTGGGCAAGATGTTGGGATTTCTGATCACACAATGCTGAATTGAAGTTAATCCATCTAAAATTAAGGCCATCTTAGAAATGCTGCCACCAATGACTAAAAATAAGGTGCAGGGTTTTCTAGGAAAGGTGCAATTCATAAGGAGGTTTATTTCAAAGCTAACATTGACTTGTGAACCACTGTTTGGTCTCCTAAAGAAAGGGAAGAAGTTCCAATGGGATAATCAATGTTAGTTTGCATTAGAGCAAGTTAAGCAATATTTGCAGAATCCACTTATCTTATCACTGCATGAGCCAGGGAACCCGTTGATCCTGTACTTATTAGTGACCGAATCAACTATGGGATGTATGCTTGCACAAGAGTCGGATGAGAAAATGGAGAAAGCCATCTACTACTTAAGTAAAAAGATACTTGAATATGAGACCCGCTATACTCCTTTGGAAAAAGCTTGCTTAGCTTTGGTATATGCCACTAGAAAGTTGAGACATTACCTGTTAGCTCACTCGGTAATTCTGGTTTCAAGATTAGACCCAATCAAATATCTCTTTGAGAAACCAGAACTTACATATAGGCTAGCTCGTTGGTTGCTTTTGCTTTCCGAATTTGACCTTAAGTATGTTGCTTGCAAATCTGTCAAAGGAAGGGCCGTAGCAGAATTTTTACGCAATTGAAGGAGAAGAAGATGTGGAGTACTCATTCTCAAATGAAGAGGTCATGCAGATGGAAGAAGACACTTGGAAGTTGTACTTTGATGGAGCGTCCAATCAATCTGGCTATGGGATAGGCGTGTTGCTCATAGCGCCGGATGATTCCCATATTCCCTTAGCTTTCAAACTCCAATTCAGGGTATCCAACAACCAAACAGAGTATGAGGCGTGCATTGCCGAATTGGAAGCAACCTTCGAACTAGGGGCAATGAGGTTGGATGTGATCGGGGACTCGAACTTGGTTGTCTCTCAAGCTAACGAAGATTGGAAAGTTAAAGAGGAAACAGTTTCTTCTTCTCTCCCCCCCTCTCTCTCTCTCTCTCTCTCTCTCTCTCTCTCCTCCATATTGCCTCTTTTCTCTGTATCCCTCTTCCCATGAAGCACTCTTTTTTATTTTATTTTATTTTTATCAAAAACTCAGTTGAAGATGGTTGAAAATTTGTGGATCTGAAGATCTGAATCTCAATTGGAGAGTTTCTAAAGACTAAAAGCTATGGATCTATTCTGAACATTATGGAATCTCACTTCAAAGTGGTTCACGGGCTGAAAAGAACTCAAGACAAAACATGTACAAACACTGTTCAACCATAAAGGTATGTACAAAATCTATTGAATATATATTTTTTCAGCTTTTTCTTTTCTTTTATTTTTTTTATATAAAAGAATCAGCTCAAAATAGTGTGTAACGATGCGTAACGGACCGTTACGACCGCTATGACAGCCGCTACGGCCGACACACCAGTGAATTTCAATCACACCGCAAAAGCGGGGGTAACGCGTCGTGCATACCGCCGCAACAGTTATATAACGGCAGTAACTGTTACGTAACACTGCATTTTGAAACATTGCTCATATATTTATATATGAAATGATTGAAGAGATACACAGAGGGAATCCTCTGAACTTTCACATGATAGCTGCCAGGTATGAATAAATAAAAACTCAACTATGCCTTTACATTTCCAAATGCCAACTAGCTACTTTGACATATGACAAGCTAACCATGCATGCATCCATGCATTAGATGACATGCAAGACCAAAAGAGATCCTCTCATATCCTCCAAAAACGGCTGTTGGGATTAAAAATAGCTGTTGTAGGAATCCCAACATTTTGAAATGTCACAAATTCACTCATCGGACTAGTTTGAGATGATCATTTGTTTCAAGCATTCACAAGTTTGAAATGCCTAAAGATAAGAGCTAAGACTTCTCTTACCACTGGTGAGTTGCACTGATATTATGAAGTTTTCCCGACTACTTTCCTTCATGATTTCAAAAAACTATGCCTAAGAAGCTTTCTATATCAATTAGGGTCAAATAGGAAAGCAAAGTCAGAGACATTGTCTTTGAGAAAGAACACCACCTCCTGTTGGTTGCCAAGAGGTAGAATGAGAGGCAGTCAGAGAGGAGGGGAGGGAAGGATTGGGTTGGCTGTGGATATCGTTGGCCTTCGAAGAAGCACCTATAAACTCCTTAAGCTCCCTCTTTAGCTTTCTTAACAATTGACAAATGATTAGGGGCTTTCTTGTAAGAAATCCCAAAAATTTACACAACATAAATGACCTCTATCTCTCTTCACTACCACCACCTCTCATGTTCGCTACTTAATTTTTGCTTAATCTTTTATGATCTCATTGTCCTATTTTTCCAAAATACAAGAATTACGGTTGACATGCATGAGGCACAATCAGCTTATAACTTTCATATTTCCGTTATATTTGTAAAACCCACAAGATTATTGAAGATTCGGCCAAACAGTCTTTTATCGAAGCTCACTTGGATCCACCATATGACGTGTGGATCTTTTATAGTTTTCCCAAATAGGTTAAGTGACCAAACAATTAATAATTAAAAGCTCGGAGTCGCCACTTGGTTTTAAGGATAAAAAACCATACAATGACCACATATATAGAGGAATTGATCAATCATCACCAAAGGACTCAGTTCAAGGACTTAGGTATGAGATGAGAATGTTTTACGTACCTACTTCACCCAAAATAAGGTCGGCCTCTACTCAAGATAGTTTGAAATTCAAAATTAGTAAAGACTTATGCATCACAAATAGCAATTTATAAAAAAATAGAGAAAAGACAAAAAAAAAAGGAATAGAGAAGGGAAATATTGAAATAAACTAGAAGGGATAAATGGAAGGGAGAACATGCATGGGGAATAAAAAACTAGATGGCTAACCTATATGCGACCAAGCCAACCTTGCCTTGATCACATATGAGTCATATGCCTATATGACTAAAAGAAAAGAAAAATAAATACTACTAACTTTTGAAATGCAGAACTGCAATGGAGAATGCCTCATTACCTTTGTAATGCCTTGGGAAATAGCCTCCAAACATTATGTCCACTTCCCAATGTAGAATTATGAGAGAGAAGAGTGAATCCATAATAATTAAATAAACTCCAAGACTACCTCTTCCCCATTGAACTATTCCAGTGATTACATTATTGTTAGTTTACATCCATTGACAGAATAAAATAGTTTAAAAGACAAGAGGTGATATAAAAGAAGAGAGCCAAAAAGGCAATCATCATCTCAAAGAGTGTCTTTGAGTACACAATAATGGAATTCTAAATTTCCATACAAAATAGCTTGAGGCTTAAACACATAACATCAAAAGAGAGTCTTTGTGCCCCCATTCAAAATCTTTTCTCAAGCCAATCATTGCGGTGGCGCATCAACATCGTTTCCTGAAAGGTGGCTAGTTTTGGGGTGAGCTAGCGCCCAGTAGGAAATACATTTAACAAGTTATATAATTCATCGAAATACACATGATCATAAAGAGAAACAAAATCCGAGTCCATTTCCTTTTTAAGTCCAAATGCCAAAAACATGCAAGGTTAATAACAATTTTCAACCAAAACGTGGGGTGTAATGCATTATGACGTCCCAAGCAAGAGCCGCAAAATCATACATATATATATAGAAAATATTTCCACATTTTCCAACTCTAAAAACGGCGGGCGACAGGCACGGAAAACCTTTCCCTCTCCACTTTTGCTAACTCCTGAAACGGCGGGCTTGTGGACATCTAAAATCAAGTTTTCTACATTCACTGACTATAAACGGCAGGCTCATGAACAGTCAAAAACCTTTTCCACATTCGTCTGGCGATATGCACAAGATAGGGCAATTGGGCACCTTGACTTCCCGTGTGGGTACCAGATAAAACACATAACTCAATTTCCGAAACCCGATTCAACTACCCAGACTTGTACGCTATTAACCCCCTTTGACATTTTCCAAACATCCACAAGGTGGTTAAATCACAAGAGAAATTATGATGCACATGGTGCATGAGTTTTCAAATAAATTTTCCCTAAGGTTTGTTCAATCCACAACAACATTAATAATATCAACAACCAAAAGATTTCTCTAATCTCACAATTTCCACAATCTCAACATTTATCATCAATCTCTATACATATACTCAAAAAGCTTCAAAAATCTCATATCTCAACACCATTTTCATAGTCCTTCACCCAATTTTAAGATTTAAGAATCAATTTGGCCAAACCTATTATTAAATAAAATTTGAAAACTAGGGTTTTTGAAAAAAATTTTGGGCTTTTCCCTTGAGTATTACTCACAATTTCTAACAACAATCAAGAAGGATATGCATAATTTTTTTGCAAAAGATGGGGAAACCCCTTTTTTATTCGACAAATCCACTTTATATCACAAAATCATCTTATACATTACTATAACTAAGAAAACATCACATATATATCTCAAATCATAAACATATCAAGTTAAAAGTACTCCCACCTCGAAATGGTAGCTAAGAGTTGAAGACCCAACAAGAAATTTTGACAAAACACGAACCAATCAGAGAGAATCTTGAATCAAACTTATTCTTCACTTTTGTTGAAAGATTTAAGGTGAATCTTAAGTAGACTTGGGGAAATCAAGTGTTTTTAGGGTTAGTGTTCGGAAATGGGTGATAGAGAGAGAGAAAGAGAAGGGTTGGAAAAAGTGAGAGAGAAAAGTGTTTGATCGACTTTTAAGTGTGCTCTCCCGACAGACTGCTCGAGCTAACTTTCCATCGCTTGAGCGGTAAACGCAAGGCTCTAGAAGTTTTATAGAGTTACAGTGAAAATTCTAGAAGCCTACATTCTATTCTCGACCAGCCACTTCATCGCTCGAGCGGTCTCGCCTGCAAAGAGGCAAGATACTGGAAGCTTCACATCTATGAATACATTGGCCCAAGTATTATAGATAAGATATGTACCTCTCATCATCGATGGCCCAAAAGATTGGTCAGAAGTAGTGACAGCATAAACTCACCCTTGTGGCCTCTACTCACTTCGGTTACCCCTTGGAATGTACGTTGGTTGCACTGACTGTACAGATGTAGCCCTTTGCACCGCCCTAAATGCTTGCCCTGATTGAACCAGCTGATAATTTTGTCTTTGACTCTAGCTTGCCTGATAACCCCCAGACTGTCGAGACCCTGAAGCACTTCCCGTCTCGACTAACTGTGGGCAAGACCTCTTTATATGCCCCGATTGCCCACAATGGTAACATGCGGGCGACTAGCCCTTCCTTTGGGATTGGCTCTAAGAATGAACCGATTGTTGATGGTTGAGATTTTGCTTACATTCTGATGCTTTGTGGCCCTGTTGGCCACACCTCAAAAAAATAATACGACTAGGACCCGTATTCCCCGAAACTCTTCATAGAAATGGACCCAGAAGACTTGGTCTATTAGGACAAGGACTGGAAGGAAGGAAAGAAGAAGAAGAACTCCTAGACTCCTTAGAGGATCTTGTGTCACCCCGTGATTCCATACAACCCGATCTCTTATGTTTCAGACTAGATTCCTCAGCTTCTAACATGATCTCTACATGAGTCGTGACCTCAACCAACCTATCATAGTCTCTGAACATATTGCCCATCACCTTCAACACGATCTTGGGCCTCAATCTCTTCTCAAACTCCAAGCATCGGCGCTCCTTGGTCACCATGAGTTCGGGTGTAAAGCGTGCCAAACTAGTGAAAGTGGCTTCAAATTCTGCCATCGGTGTATCCAGTTGTCTAAGCTCCTTGGATTGTTTCCTCAATATCTCCCTAGCAATGGGAGGTAAGAACTTTTCCTGGAAGGCATGGGTGAATGCCTCCCAAGTGTGCTTAACCCTAAGCTTAACAGATTTCCACCACTGACCGGCCTCTCCTTTTAGTTGGTAAGCCACCAACGCTACTCGGAGCTCTCCCCCACGGATGTCTAAGATCTCAAAGGATTTAACGATTTGCTTTAACAATTCATCAACTTTCATGGGATCAGGCCCCCCACTAAACTCGGCAGGGTTGGAGCAAAAAAATTCTTTCTTCAACTAGGAGGTTCGGGTATTTTCCTCTACTGTCCTTACCGCTTGCTCGGCTCGGAGTATGTCCATGGACTCTCAAAGAGCCCCGGCCATTTCTTAGTCTAGCGTCCCCATTCCATCTTAGGCCGAAGGAGTGGCCACATTATTACCCTTTTTTGTTGGGAAGGAAGATCTTGTTGGTCTAGAATACCCAACCACCACGATGAGGTCTACCATGACCTCTGCCACGTCCGGACATCCTATATATGAGTA